TGGTGACGTTGTGATCCACTTTGAGCTTCCTTTGCTTTTCTTTACTGGACGTGTGACCCCTTGTTCTCCCCCACTTTGCATATGGGGGTGTGTTAAACTATATTTGTGCTAGTTCTATGTAAGCTATAGTGGGGTAGCCCATATTGGGTGTGAGGATCTAGGATCGAGCTCAGAAAAGAGAATGAGAATTGAGTCGAATTGAATGATCACCTGGGTACAACACGAGGCTATATATAGGCTCGACACAAGGCCCCGTAACTAGGTGTTACGCGAAGGTTCCGCGGGCCGCGTAGCGTCCCGAACGGATCCTTACCGAATTCGGTAGAAGGCAATTCGGTGGCAACCGAAAAGGCCAGAATTCGGTGCACGCAACCTAGCTCGGTGCTATAACTATAATAAAACATAGGAAAGCACCTAGCCTAGGAAATCAAGCAATTCATGCATGCATATGATTATCCTATGCTAGAAATAGCATGATAAAGTAAAGGCAAGCAAGCATAGCTGGCATAAGCCGTTGTACTCTCACACGTCCCCCCCTCAAAGCTGGGTGGCGTGAGATACACCCTGCTTGACAAGATAGTCCTTGAGAGCACGGCGTGCGTTGCCCATATCACCTTCTGCAACCCAACTGTCCTCAGTGGGGTCGTATCCCTTCCAGCGTATCAGGAACTCGAGGGTCTTGCCGCCACGGCGCCGATGAGAGAGAACGCGCTCGATCTCGTACTCAGGTTCATCCTGCACAAGAACAGGTGGAGGTGGCGGTAGCTGCCGTCCCTGGAACTGTTGGTTGGGGTCCTTGTAGGGTTGAAGTAGTTGCACATGGAAAGCATTGTGAAGCTTCCAAGTAGTAGGTAAGCGCAAGCGGAATGTAACTGGTGTCACCTGTGCCTCAACGAGAAAAGGACCACAGAAGCGAGGCCGGAGTTTGGATGGGAGGTGAGACAGGTTCAAGTTGCGCGTGTCAAGAAGCACCTGATCTCCGACTGCCACTGAGTGATTGCGTCGCTGACGATCGGCATACTGCTTCTGGGAGGTCTGCATCGTGGTGAGTCGTCGCTGAGTTTTCTCCCATAGCTGCTGCATGGTGGTGACGAAGTCATGTGCGGCTTGGACGTGTGCTGGTGTGGTTGGCTGCTGTGGTGTGAGTAGTTCCCGTCCGTAACACAGGAAGAATGGAATTTTCCCTATGGCCGCATGTGAGGCGTTGTTGTAAGCGAACTCTAGGGTCGGTAACTGTGTGTCCCAGTGGCTGACGTCGTCCTTGCAAGCTGTGCGCAGTAACTGCTCAACCACTTGATTGAGTCGCTCTGTCTGTCCGTCAGTCTGGGGGTGGTATGCTGAAGACATTGCAAGCTTTGTCCCCAACAGTCCCATGAGCTCCTTCCAGAACTTACTGGTGAATTTTGGGTCTCTGTCTGAGTTGAGTGTAGCGGGAATGCCGTGGATGGTGGTGATGCGGTCAAAGAAGAGGTGAGCGGTTGCTTCAGCTGTAGTTGTGGCGTTGGTCGGTATGAAGTGACCCATTTTGGAGAACTTATCGATGACTACGAGGATGGAATCGTGCCCCCGTGAGGTCGAAGGAAGTCCGGTGATGAAGTCGAGGCTAACGACCTGCCATGGCTACTCTGGTACGGGTAGAGGCTGAAGTAACCCTGCTTTTTTCTGCTTGCTACTCTTCATCCGCTGGCACGTGTCGCAAGAGGTGACGAACTGCTGCACGTCTGCTGCCATCCCGGGCCAGTAGTAATACTTCGCTATCCCTGCTAACGTTTTGTTGCTCCCAAAATGTCCCGCGTATGGTACGTCCTGAAACTCCTCCAATAGGATCTGCCGTAGCGGGGCGTAATTCGGTACCCAAATCTTTCCTGAACCCTTCTTTACAGCTAAGTCTTTCTCCCACTGTAAGAGCTTCTTTCTCTGTGCTGTAGCGATCTCTGCGTCCACGGAGTACCCATGTTGGAATAGACCCTTGAGCAGAGGGTTCATCCCGTCGAGCTGGATGCCTGCTACATGTCCGGGGCGGCTCAACGCGTCTGCCTTGTTGTGTAGCCCGGGCTTGTAGACGATGTCGTAGTGGAAGTGAGTTTCCAGGAAGTCCACCCACCGCACCTGTCGTCGTGAGAGCGTCGGCTGCGACTTCAGGTATTTGAGACTGCAGTGGTCAGTATAGACTGTAGTCTTGGCTCCCTCTAGGTAACATCTCCACGCCTTGAAGGCTATGACTATCGCTAAGGCTTCCTTGTCATGGATGGGGTAGTTCAGTTCTGCTCCGTGTAGCTTCTTACTGAGGTAGGCGATGGGCTGCAAACCGCGTCCGTGATCCTGCATCAGTACTGCTCCGACTGCTTGGTCACTAGCGTCTGCTTCCACCACGTAGTCCTTGTCTGGATCCGGCAAGATGAGTACTGGCGCTGTAGTCAGTGCTGTCTGTAGGTGCTCCATGGCTTGCTGATGAGGGGTATCCCATTTGTAGGGCGTATCCTTTTTCAGTAGGTCGGTCAATGGCGCTGCTATCTTAGCGTACTGCGGCACGAACCTGTTGTAGTAGTTGGCGAAGCCTAGGAACTGCTGCAACTCCTTCACGTTCTCCGGTACTTTCCACTTCTTGACGGCTTCGATCTTCCGCGGGTCCAAGTGTACGCCCTCTGCACTCACCATGTGCCCGAGAAACTGCACCTTCTTCAGGGCGAAGTCGCTCTTCGACAGCTTCACGTAGAACTTGTTTTTCCGCAGGATCTCGAACACCTTTCGTAGATGCTCCACGTGCTCCTTCATGTTCTTGGAGTAGATGAGAATGTCGTCCAGGTACACCACCACGCACTCGTCCAGCAGGGGTCGTAAGATGTGATTCATCTCCGCCTGAAACGTTGCTGGTGCGTTGCAGAGTCCGAACGGCATCACCAAGTATTCGTAGGAGCCGTATCTGGTACGGAACGCCGTCTTGTGGATCGAGTTGTCCGCCATCTTGATCTGCCAGTAGCCCGACCGTAGGTCCAGCTTCGATTAGACTATTGCACCACGTAGTTGGTCCAGTAAGTCGTCGATGCGCGGAATGGGGTACTTGTTTTTAACTGTCTGTTTGTTCAGTGCGCGGTAGTTGATGCACATCCGTAGACTGCCGTCTGGTTTTGGAGTGAAGAGAACTGGTGCACCGTAGGGAGAGGTGGATGGGCGGATCAGCTGTCTGTCCAGTAGATACTCTATCTGTTTTTTCATGTCTGTCAGTTCAGTCGGACTCAGTCGGTATGGTGCACGTGAGACGGGTTTCGCACCTGGTTCCTCCACGATCTCGTGCTCGTGGGTGCGTGCTGGAGGTACGCCTGCAGGTAGGTCGTCGGGCATTATATCCTCGTATTGCTCCAAGACCTCCTTTACTACTGCAGGTAGCTCGGAACTCGGCTTCTCCTCCTCTGTTGCTGCCATAACCAGTGCTTGGTAACCCGTGTTACTCTCGTTCACCGTCTGTTCGAACCGTGCCAGTGTCGTTTCATGTACGTCCCCTGTATCCGTCCAGCTTTGCAGTGCTATCCGCTTCCCGTTGTTGTAGATGCACACCTTGCTGTTGACCCAATCGATCTCGGGGCTGAACCGCTTCAGGAAATCTCGTCCCAAGATAAAATCTAATCCTTTGATGTTGGTGACTGGTAGCTTCGGCTTCCACCTCAACGCACCTATATGCAGCTGCAGTGATGCTTCGCCGTGGATAGGAAGCTTCATACCGTCCACCATGGTTGCAAAAAACTGGGTCTCTTCCGCCTTCTCTCCAATTTTCTCCAATGCTCCGCGGTCACACACCGAGTGAGATGCACCGCTGTCCACCAATGCCTGGAGGCGTCTGTCATAACATTATAGCTTATACATCTGTGTAGGCTGTAGTGGGGTAGCCCATAAGGGGTACAACCCAATCACGGTTAGTACTTGTACCCAACTATTTCATAGTTCAATCATTCTCGTTCTACTTTTCACATGGTATAGAGCAGGCTCCCCCGTGGGAAATGTTCCCAGGGCCCACCGACCTTTTTTTTCCTGCCCGGAGCGCGCTTGGCCCCTGCCCGAGCCGCGCCCCGTGTGACTCCCCTTCGTGGCCTCTAGCGGCCTCCCTCACGGCCCCTAGTGGCCCCGTCGCGCCGTCCTCACGGCCCCGTCGCGCCGCCCCTGCGGCCCTCTTCGCACCGCCCTCGTGGCCCCTTTCCGCGGCCCCGTCGCCGCCCTTTTAGCGGCCCCGTCGCCGCCCTTTCCGCGACCCCGTCGCCGCCCTTTCAGCGGCCCCGTTGCCGCCCTTACACGGCCTCGCCGCCCGCCCTTGCAGCGGCCCCATTGCCGCCCTTCTGCGGCCCCATCGTCGCCCTTCCGCGGCCCCGACGCCGCCCTTCCGCGGCCCCGTCGCCGCCCTTCCGCGGCCCCGACGCCGCCCTTCCAAGGCCCCGTCGCCGCCCTCCAGCGGCCCCGTCGCCGCCCTTTCGGCGGCCCCGTCGCCGCCCGCCCTTTCAGCGGCCCCGTCACCGCCCTTCAGCAGCCCCGTCACCGCCCTTCAGCGGCCCCGTCGCCACCCTTCCGCGGCCCCGTCGCCGCCCTTTCAGCGGCTAGTCGCCGCCCTTTCAGCGGCCCGTCGCCGCCCTTTCAGCGGCCCCGTCGGCGCCCTCCCGCGGCCCCGTCGCCACTCAGCCGCCCAGCGCCAGAGCCGCCGAGCCGCCCAGCTGCCGAGCAGCCGAGCCGCCGAGGAGATGAGCCGCCGAGCAGCCGAGCTGCCGAGCAGCCGAGCCGCCGAGCAGCCGAGCCGCCCTGCAGCCGAGCCGCACGACGGCTGAGCCGCCCTGCAGCCGAGCCGCCCGACCCCCGAGCCACCCAGCAGCCGAGCCGCCGAGACGCCGAGCCGCACCGCAGCCGAGGCGCTGCCGCCTGTCGGCCTGCCCGGGACCGCCCCACTTGCCTGGTAAGAGCAGCGCCTCTACCACTGCACTGCCCTGCCCCACTGTACTCACTGCCTGTCTACTGCTGTCATGGCCTCCCCTAGTGTTCTCACCTTTGACGCTGAGGGTCGGGCAGTTGACTTTGAGGTCTGGGTAGATGATCTGCAGCTTTTCCTACAGTGCGATAGGGCAGACGGTCTCTCCCTGTTTGACCTCACTTCTGGTGCCTCTCCTGCCCCTGCTGCTGATTCTGACGCCACTGCTCGCTCACAGTGGGCCACGCGTGATGCTGCTGCTCGCCTTGCTGTGCGCCGCCACTTACCAACCACTGAGCGTGCACACTTTAGCCAGTACAAGAGTGCTCAGACCTTGTACGACGCTGTAGTTGCACGCTACTCTTCCCCTGCCACTGCTGCACTGAGCCGCCTCATGCTACCGTACCTCTTCCCTGACCTTGCTGCCTTTCCCACAGTCGCTGACCTCATTACGCACCTCCGCACTAGTGACACTTGCTACCGCGCTGCACTTCCTGCTGAGTTCTGCGCCAAGAACCCCCCCCCCATGTACATCACCCTCTACTACATAGTCACCCGGCTCCTTGACTCTCTCCGCGTAGTCAGGGACCACTTCCTCTCAGTTTGCCCCACCACTCTCACCGTTGACCTCCTCGAGAAGGCCCTCCTAGCAGCAGAGAAGAGTATAGTCGCTGTAGGAGCCTCTCGTGGTGACCCGCGCACCCCCGTCTTTGAGGGGTGTTCTCCCTCCCCCCTCTTGCCCTCTGTTGCCTCTGCTGCTGCGGCCGACCTCGTTGGTTTCGAGTCAGTCGGCGCTGCGTCTGCCCCGAGCGGGAGACGCCGCACTGGCAAGGGCAAGGGGGGCAAGGGCGCTGGAGGGGCTGGCGGGGGCGGTGGAGGTGGTGGTGGAGGCAGTGGAGGGAAAGGGGGTGGTGGTGGGAGTGGTGCCGGGGGTGGCGGCGGCGGCGGCAGCAGTGGAGGCGGCGGAGGCGGCGGTGGTGGCGGAGGGAGCGGAGGCGGCGGAGGTGGCGGAGGAGGCGGGGGTGGAGGAGGCGGCGGAGGCGGCGGCGGCGGCGGCGGCGGTGGTGGAGCGGGTCGCGACTCTGCGCAGAGGAGTGGCTCCGGTGGTGGTCCGCGCCAGCAGCAGCGGAGTGGTGTGACCCTGTCCCCTCAGCAGCTTCGTGAGTGGTACACTGCGCGCCAGCGCGGTGGGGGTTTTGGTTGTCAGAATCCCAACCACTAGACCATTGGGATAAAAGGGCTTGTTTTAGTAGCGGGTCAGTGCGCCCATAACCCCCCAGGCAAACGCGCCTGTAACCCCCCCTAGGATCGATCGGGGATCTCACAGTGTAGCTCTACTGACACCCCCCCGCACTGGGAGGCCCAGGACTAAGCACAGCGGCACCGGCCTACATGTGCATACACCGGGAATCGAACCCGAGACCGCTCTGATACCATGTCAGAATCCCAACCACTAGACCATTGGGATAAAAGGGCTTGTTTTAGTAGCGGGTCAGTGCGCCCATAACCCCCCAGGCAAACGCGCCTATAACCCCCCCTAGGATCGATCGGGGATCTCACAGTGTAGCTCTACTGACATTGGTCCCTGCACTTACGTCCTCCGAACCGGTGACCGAGCTGGTGAGCAGTGCGGGGGCCCGCACTCCACCCAACGCTGCTTCGGTCGCCTGACGAACGCGTGGCGTCGCCAGTTCCCTGAGGCGTCAGAGATCCCTCGCTGGGGAGATCTGTCTAGGGCGGGGGTTGCCGTCTTTGATCTTGACTATGATGCTATCCTTGCTGCCATGTATTCTGTGACTACTAGTGTTGAGGGTGACTGTTACCTGTGTGTACCGCCTGACCCGGGCATTGAGGCCACTGCTCTAGGTGCTGGTGAGGCTGCTGCTCTAGGTGCTAGTGCGTCTGCTGCCCCAGGTGCCAGTGCGTCTGCTGCCCCAGGTGCCAGTGCGTCTGCTGCCCCAGGTGCCAGTGAGTCTGCTGCCCCAGGTGCTGGTGAGTCTGCTCTCTCAGGTACTACGTCGGCTCAGGCCTTCCACACCTTCACCCTTGACTCGGGTGCGTCCCGCTCCTTCTTTCGAGACCGCACCACTCTTACACCGCTCAGTCGGTCGGTTGTTGTCTCCCTGGCAGACCCCTCTAGGGGTCCTGTCCTTGCTAGCTTCTCCACTGTCTTACCGTGCCCGGCAGCCCCCTCTGGCACCCTGTTAGGTAGCTACCTCCCCTCGTTCTCTACGAACTTGGTGAGTGGAGCGGACCTACAGGATAGGGGGGTTGACCAGTTCACTCCTGCGAGTCAGCGAGTGACCCACTGCACGTGTGCTCGGACAGGCCGACACTTGGCCACGTTCACTCGTCGGCCAGGGTCGAGCCTGTACACCCTTACTACTGAGTCTCCTCCGGCTGCTGAGTCTGGCCAGGTAGCTGCGTCGAGTCAGGTGTTTGCTGCAGCGTCCAGGTCTGGTCCTGTGTCTACTCCCTGCTCGTGTCGTCTCCTATCCCACCAGACTCTCCTCTGGCACCACCGCCTTGGTCACCCCTCCCTACCTCGTCTCCGAGGCATGGCCTCCCGTGTCCTTGTCTCTGGTCTCCCTCGGTCTCTCCCTCCCCTACCTCCGGGGCCTGACTCTACCTGCGTCCCATGCGTCGAGGGGCGACAGCGCGCCGCCCCTCACTCCTCCGAGTTTCCTCCGACATAGGCTCCGCTACAGACCCTCCACATGGACGTGTGGGGCCCCGCCCGCGTCCGTGGACAGGGGCACGAGCGTTACTTCCTGTTGGTGGTTGACGACTACTCGCGTTACACCACAGTCTTCCCCTTGCGCAGCAAGGGTGATGTCACTGAGGTGTTGATTGACTGGATCCGCGCAGCTCGTCTCCAGCTCAGAGAGAGTTTCGGCTCGGACTTTCCTGTTCGGCGTGTGCACTCGGACAGAGGCGGGGAGTTTTCCTCTGCCCGTCTGGGAGCCTTTTGTCGTGCAGAGGGCATCCGCCAGACCTTCACGCTTCCGGCCTCTCCACAGCAAAATGGGATTGCTGAGCGCCGCATTGGCATGGTCATGGACGTCGCTCGTACGTCCATGATGCATGCGGCTGCCCCCCATTTTCTGTGGCCGTTTGCGGTTCAGTACGCCGCGCATCAGCTCAACCTTCAGCCCCGGGTCTCCTTGCCAGAGACCTCCCCCGCCTTGCGGTGGACCGGGAAGGTTGGCGATGCGTTTGCGTTTCGGGTCTGGGGATCTCGGGCGTTTGTCTGCGGACAAGCTGTCCCCTCGTGCTGTTCCCTGCGTCTTCCTTGGCTTCCCCCCTGACGCGCCTGGGTGGCAGTTTTACCACCCCACCTCGCGCCGTGTTCTGTCCTACCAGGACGTCACCTTTGACGAGTCGGTGCCTTACTACCGTCTCTTCCCCTACCGCACTGCGCCCCTCTCCCCGCCGCCGCTCTTCCTTGCACCAGGTCCTCCCCCGGTAGACCCCATCCCCCCTCAGGGTCCTGCCCCGTCAGGTGTGTCCCAGGTAGACGCAGTCGAGCCTGTCGAGGTAGCTGCTGACTCTGGTGCTGCTAGAGGTGCTGAGACTGGGGGTGCTGAGCCTGGGGGTGCGGAGTCTGGGGGTGCTGAGACTGGGGGTGCTGAGTCTGGGGGTGCTGAGCCTGGGGGTGCTGGGTCTGGGGGTGTGGAACCTGGGGGTGCGGAGCCTGGAGGTGCGGAGCCTGGGGGTGCCGAGCCTGGGGGCGCTGGGTCTGCTCGTGTGGCCGCCGGCGGTGCTTTGTCGAGGCGGGAGCCACTCTCTCCACAGGAGCTGCGCGAGTGGTTTGCCCGCCGCTGGAGACGTGCTGCTGAGACTAGGGGTGCTGTTGGGGCTACTAGAGTTGGTCCTGCTGGAGCTGCTGGCGGTACTAGTGCTGCTGGAGCTGGAGCTGCTAGGGGTGTTGGCGCTGGTATTTTTACTGGCGCTGGTGCGTCTGGGGGTGTTGCTGAGGCTGCTGAAGCTGACGGTCCAACTGGAGTTGGTGCTACAAGAGCTGGAGCTGCTGGGGGTGTTGGCACTGGCGGTGCTGCTGGCGCTGGTGCTCCTGAGGATGCTGGAGTTGGCGGTGTTGGAGCTGGAGGTGCTGCTGGCGCTGGTGCTGCCGCTTGGGGTACTGGTGCCGTCCCTGCTGGTTCTGGAGGCGCTGAGCGGCCGAGGCCGTACTTCGTTCCGCTCCTGGAGCAGGTTCTTGGTCTCCCGCCCTCTCCTGGTCCTGCTCCTTCCTTATAGTGTCCACAGCCTGTCCAGTCGCAGTCACACTTACAGCCCGCCTCCCCTCTACCTGCTCCTTCTCCCTACACTGGTCCTACTGGAGGTCTTGCAGAGCGTCGTGCGCCTGCGTCTCGTCCTGCGTTGCCTGTTCGTACTGCTCGCACTAGTGGTCGTACTGCGCGTCCGCGTCCTCCTGCAGTCTCGAGCACACACCAGATGGCGCTGCGTCCTTCCACTGCTCCTCTGCGTGTCCCGTTGCCGTCTCCTCCAGAGTCCTCTCTTCCTACTCTTGCTGACCGAGAGTCTGACTCCCTTCGTGCTGCTAGTCCTTCGGTCACGCGTCTCCTTGCTACTGTTATCACTGACCCTTCCTTTGAGTCCACTGCTGCGTCTGCCCTAGTTGCCAAGCTTGTCGACTTCGCTGCTCGCTGTCGTCTAGACTACGCTGCTAGTCTCGTTGCTGAGTCTGAGTCTGTCTGTCCTCCGTCCGTCGGGGGTGAGTGTGCTCTTAGCACGGACGTTCTTGAGGACAGGCAAGAGGAGTTCCAGTGTTTTGCTGCTGCTTTGCCTCATCTCGTGTCCACGCTGATTGCCCCTGAGGGAGACCCGGATGCACCAGACATCCCGACTCCTCGATCGTACGCTGAGGCGATCGAGGGTCCCTACTCCTCACAGTGGCAGTCAGCCATGGACGCAGAGATGGCTTCCTGGAAGTCCACAGGCACCTACGTTGACGAGGTTCCCCCACCTGGGGCAAACATTGTTAGTGGCATGTGGATTTCCAGGGTGAAGCGGCCGCCGGGTTCTCCGCGTGTCTTCAAGGCGCGTTACGTGGCTCGAGGCTTCAGTCAGCGGCAGGGAGTTGACTACTTCCAGACCTTCTCTCCCACCCCGAAGATGACCACTCTTTGGGTGCTACTGCACATAGCCGCTCAGCGCGACTACGAGCTTCACTCTCTTGACTTCAGCACAGCTTTCCTGCAGGGCAGCCTGCACGAGGAGATCTGGCTACGCCGCCCACCTGGCTTCACTGGGTCGTTTCCCCCTAGTACCCAGAGGAGCCTCCGGCGGCCAGTCTACGGTCTCCGCCAGGCACCCCGTGAGTGGCACGACACACTGAGGACTACACTTGCGGCTCTTGGGTTTGCTCCTTCTACTGCCGACCCGTCGCTGTTTCTGCGCACCGACACCTCGTTGCCGCCGTTCTACATCCTCGTGTACGTCGACGACTTGTTCTTTGCCACAGCTGACACTGCTGGACTCGCCCACGTGAAGTCCGAGCTGCAGAAGAGACACACGTGCACAGACCTGGGTGAACTGCGCAGCTACCTTGGCTTGCAGATCACCCGGGAAGGAGCACAGCGCACCATTACCCTGACTCAGTCACACATGGTGCAACAGGTCCTTCAGCGCTTCGGCTTCACGTACTCCTCGCCTCAGGCCACTCCTCTGTCTACTCGCCACTCGCTCTCAGCTCTGCCTTCGGATGAGTCCGTAGAGCCGAGTGGCCCGTACCCAGAGCTTGTTGGCTGCCTCATGTACCTGATGACCTGCACACGACCTGACCTTGCATACCCTCTTAGCATCTTGGCACGCTATGTTGCTCCTAGAAGACACCGACCAGAGCACATGGCTGCAGCGAAGAGGGTGCTGCTCTACGTGTGCAGTACGCCGGGCATGGGGCTAGTGCTTGGAGGGCGACGTCAAGTGGTCCTCACAGGTCACGCTCACGCTTCTTGGGCTGACGACCAGGCTCTGCAGTGGTCGTCACAGGGTTACACCTTCAGCCTTGGCTCCGGCTCTGTATCTTGGCGGTCTACCCGCTCGTCCTCTGTTCTGAGCTCCAGCTGTGAGGCTGAGATCTACGCAGGGGCCATGGCTGCACAGGAGCTACGCTGGC